CTTTTTTTTATAAATTGAAATTTTTGCCTTGTGGTTATCAATTTCAATAGTCGGCTATTGCATTTGAATAAAACTTATACAATTGATTTCATCCACTAGCGACTTGTTTTCCTACAAGTTTAAGACAGTTTTCTGAGTTCGGAAAACAAGAGTTGATTTTTGGTTTAACTGAATTTTAGTTACTTGGAACAAACATTTGGTTTTCAAAAACAAGAGTCGTTTTTTTTTTGTTTCATTGAATTGTAGTTTTTTGGAACTAATATTTGATTTGTTTTCAGAAATGGCAACCGAATCGAACAACATGGATGTGACCCAAAATGTTCTCGCTGGAAATCAGGCTGTGGGTTCTAAAGTGGCTCAAGGGCCAAGCTCCGTTATGGCTCAGACTGTGGCTAGAATGCCAAGTCATGTTGTGAGCCAAACTGGCCAAACTGTAACTGTTCCGGTTAATCATGGAGAAAAATCGGAGAAATTTGATGGCTTGAATTTCAAAAGGTGACAACAGAAAATGGTTTTTTACTTGACCACCTTGAATCTTGCGAGATTCTTGACTGAAACTGCTCCAAAACTTAATGAGGGCGAGGGAGATGTGAAAGCATTGAGTGCACTTGATGCTTGGAAGCATTCGGACTTTCTGTGCCGAAATTATATCATGAACAGCCTAGCAGATGCGCTGTACAATGTGTATAGCACCATGAAAACTGCTAAGAAATTGTTGGAGTCCTTGGATCGGAAATACAAAATTGAGGATGCCAGGGCTAAAAAGTTTATAGTCAGCAAATTCCTAGACTATAAGATGATGGACTCCAAAACTGTTATCAGTCAAGTGTAAGAACTCCAAGTGATCCTTCACGAAATTCATGCCCAAGGAATGATGTTGAGTTAAACTTTTCAGGTGGCTGCAATTATAGAAAAATTGCTCCACGCGTGGAAAGATTTTAAGAACTATTTGAACACAAACGAAAGGAAATGAACGTCTAAGAGCTCGTTGTTAGACTTCGAATCGAAGAAGACAACAACAGTTTCGAGAAGAAATGGTTCAATCCTGGCGGCTAAAGCCAATGTTGTGAAGCTTGGTCAAAATAGTAAGAACTACAAAAACAAGTCTGGGTCATCTGGTGGCAAAAGAACTTAGCAAGGACCAAAAAGTGGAATTGTCAAGAAGAAATTTCAAGGGAAATGCTTCAATTGTGACAAAGTGGGTCACAAGTCTTCAGAGGGCAGATTACCGAAGAAGAAGAAAGAAGTGAACGTGGTTGACTACATGGCACAAGATGTGTCGGAGTTGAATCTCGTAACAGTCATTTCTGAAGTAAACATGGCGGGTTCAAACCCTAAAGAGTGGTGGATTGACACCGATACTACAAGGCATGTGTGCTCTGATAAAGAGATATTTGATACGTTTGAAGCTGTTGAGAACAAGGAGAAGTTGTTCATGGAAAATTCAGCAACTTTTGAAATCAAGGGTCAAGGAAAAGTGGTTTTGAAGATGACCTCGGGAAAGGAGCTGACTCTCAACAACGTACTTTATGTGCCGAAAATTCGTAAGAATTTAGTGTCCGGGTCGCTTTTGAATAAGCATGGTTTTCGCATTGTTTTTGAGTCAGACAAAGTCATTCTGTCAAAAAGTGGAATGTTTGTCGGAAAATGTTATGTTTCCGACGGTATGTTTAAACTCAATGTAATGGTTGTGAAACCAAAAATAAATAAAGTAAGTTCTTCTGCTTATTTGCTTGAGTCTTCCAATTTGTGGCATGATAGACTAGGACACGTTTACTATGATACTTTACGAAGACTAGTTAACTCTAACTGCATACCTAAGTTAAATAACGATTCCAAACATAAGTGTGAAACTTGAGTTGAAATAAAATTGACAAGGTCATCGTTTAAATCAATTGAACGGAACACAGAACCACTAGATTTAGTTCACAGTGACGTGTGTGATCTAAAACTTGTACAAACAAGAGGTGGCAACAAGTATTTTATTACTTTTGTCGACGATAGCACAAAATACTGCTATGTATATCTACTTAAAAGCAAGGATGAAACTATAGAGAAATTTATTCTCTATAAGAATGAAGTTGAGAATCAACTTAATAAAAATATTAAGGTGCTGCGAAGTGATCGAGGTGGTGAGTATGAAGCACCATTTGCTGAATTCTATGCACAACACGGAATCATACATGAAACCACCGCCCCTTATTCACCGCAACAAAATGGTGTTGCTGAACGAAAAAATCGTACCTTAAAAGAGATGATGAATGCAATGCTCATAAGTTCTGGATTACCTCAAAACATGAGGGGGGGAAACTGTGTTATTAGCAAATTACCTTTTAAATAAGGTGCCCTGAAAGAAATCAGAAAAGATCCCTTATGAGTTATGGAAAGGAATAATGTCAACCTATAAACACTTGCGAGTGTGGGGTGTCTTTCTAAAGTGGCTGTTCCACCACCAAAGAAGGTAAGGATAGGCCCGAAAACTATAGACTGTGTTTTCATTAGCTATGCACAAAATAGCAGTGCGTATCGCTTTCTTGTGTATGATTCAAAAATTTCAGACATACACAAAAACACGATAATGGAATCAAGGAATGCTACATTCTTTGAAGAAGTATTTCCATACAGATTCAAAGAAGAAGCAAGCTCTTCTAAACGAACATATGAGACAATGACTGAAAATAGTCAGAACGAAGAATTAGAAGAGGAGACTGAGGTTAGACGCGGCAAACGGGAAAGGACAGAAAAATTTTATGGTCCCGATTTCTGACGTATATACTAGAAAGTGAACCTCAAAGTTATCAAGAAGCAGTGAATTCCTCAGAAGGAACTCAATGGAAAGAAGCCATTGAAAGTGAAATAGATTCCATACTGTAAAATCATACATGGGAGCTAGTGGATCTTCCTCCAGGAAGCAAACCACTAGACTACAAATGGATTTTCAAAAGGAAAATGAAAGCAGATGGAACTATCGAGAAGTATAAGGCCATATTAGTAATTAAAGACTACAAACAAAGGGAATGCCTTGATTACTTTGATATGTATTCTCCAGTGACGAGAATAACATCTATTATGATGATACTTGTGATTGCCGCTTTGCGAAATCTTGAAGTACATCAAATGGATGTTAAAACTGTCTTTCTAAATGGAGATTTAGAAGAAGAAATTTACATGGAACAACCTGAGGGGTTTTCATCACCAGGACATGAAAAGAAAGTCTATAAACTGGTGAAGTCACTATATGGCTTGAAACAAGTACCAAAACAATGGCATGAAAAAATTGACAATGTCATGATTGAGAGTGGATTTAAAGTCAATGAATGTGACAAATGTGTTTACGTCAAAGACACTAAAGATGGATATGTCATCTTATGTCTTTACGTTGACGACATGTTTATTGTTGGTAGTGACAATAAGATGATTGAATCCACTAAAAATATGTTAAACTCGAGATTTGACATGAAAGATATGGGTTTAACTGATGTTATACTTGGAGTGAAAATCTCAAAAACATAATATGGGCTTGTTCTAAGTCAGTCACATTATGTGGACAAAATTTTAGGAAAATTTCATAAGGATGATATTGGCTTGGCTAGAACACCAATAGATACGAGTCAACATCTGTCTAAAAACAGATGAGAAAGTATCTCTCAAGTAGAATATTCGAGAGTTATCGGAAGTCTAATGTACTTAATGAGTTGTACTAGACCAAACATAGCCTACACAGTCAGTAAACTGAGCAGATACACGAGTAATCTAGGAGTTGATCACTGGAAAGGAATTGTAAGAGTATTAAGGTACTTAAGATATATTCGTGACTATGGACTACATTATACTAGATATTCAGCAGTCATTGAAGGATACGGTGATGCTAATTGGATATCTAATATAAAAGACTCAAAATCCACCAGTGGATATGTGTTCACATTGGGTGGTGCTGCCATATCGTGGAAATCTTATAAGCAAACGGTTATAGCCAGATTTACGATGGAATATGAGTTTATAGCTCTAGATAAATGTGGTGAAGAGGCTGAATGGTTATGCAACTTCTTAGAGGATATTCCAATATGGTCAAAACCTGTGCCAGCAATTTGCATATACTGTGACAGTCAATCGACAATATGAAAGGCACAGAGTAACATATATAATGGTAAGTCTAGACATATACGTCGTAGACACAATACCATAAGACAACTACTCTCAACTGGAGTTATCACTATTGACTATATAAGGTCAAAAGATAACATTGCGGATCCGCTAACCAAAGGGTTAAATAGAGAGTTAGTTATGAAATCATCGAAAGGAATGTGATTTAAGCCCTTGAAAGAATAAGTCATTACAAAGGAAAACCCAACCTAGTTGACTGGAGATCCCAAGATCTAGGTTCAATGGGAAAACCAAACTGTAAAAACTTGATAAAATCACTGTGCGGGTATTACCTCCCGTCCATTCCTATGATGTAACAGTGATGCCCGTAAGGTTGAAGGTTAAGCAATAGACTTTTAATGATTCTTATGCATAATAAATCGAGCCAAGTAATGCGGGTTACTTGTAATAAGAAATCACCTATGTGAGAGAGAAGTGGGGCCGCTTCTAAGAGAATTGTGTGGGGCTCAATTCTTAAGAACTCTCATAGAACCAGGCATATGTTCATGGACAAAACAAACATAATAATGAGAACTGGATTGTCTTAGGAAGAATCCTGTGTGAGGTATATCATCGTTTACACAAATGATAGAACAGTTCAAGGACATCGCGGCCACTGGTCAGCCAATAAAGTAAATATGCTTTCACAAGGGAAGGTTCAAAGGGTAACACCTACCTATCCTATGCAGGATTCAACTGCTGAACTTTATCACCAAGTCTTGTGTCTCACGTTTCGTGTCTCTCCCAATTTTCATTCATGTAGGGGATTGTTGGAAAAAATTGAGTGAGCGGCTCACTTTTGGCACAATTTTCGATCAGACCCGTTGGTCCAATGTGAAATATCAAAGTTGATATGTGTTCTCCTTCGCGAGAACATCGATTTCATGTATTTATTTGCCAAAAATGAAACTCGGGTGAATGAGAAATTAGAGCTCAAAGTTGGTAATTGGAAGTTGGTTTTGTGGGAAAAAATACATTTATCCCACATAGGAAAATCAAGAAAACTTAAACTACTTTATATATGGCTATGCTTTGGACATGTGTAATCATGTGTAGCATAGAGACTCTCTCCACGTGCGCGCGCAGGGGTGCAAATCACGAGCCGAAATGGCCTTCGGGCCTTGAACTTAGGTGCGGGCGCGACCTGTGCACACGAATGTCGGATCGAACAAGGCAAAAATGGCCCCCTCGGAGAGCCCATGTTTTGTCAATTTTTTTTTTTTTTTTTTTTTTGCTTTCTCCAATGACTTTTGAGTTTCTAAACTGCAAAAACTCGCAATGTTTATTCCTAGAACTGAAAAGCTGAAACTCTAGTGGTTAATGTCGTAACTCCAGTGACTCCAATGGACAGGAATCAGTCTATATAAGGGACGCTCACTCCAACAGTTCAATACACGACGAAAATTTCTCTCTGCATACGAAAATATTCTTCCCAGTTTTCCACGCAGTGTCGTTTTTCCCAGTTCCAGTTTCCATACAGTGTAGTTTCTGTTCTCTTCCAGTCACGTGCAATTCGTCGGAGTAGGACCGTGGTGCTCGAATTCTGCTTATTACCGTTGTATCCTGGGAGACAGCCGCTCGAACTGAATCTCCAGCACCTACGGTGAGGGGGCAAAACTGTCTTAAGGAAACTGTGTACGCTCAGGCCTCGATTTGAAATCTGCTGCAGTTTGTGTTTTCTTTCTGTAGATTTATTTCGTTGCAGTTCGTGTAGTTTCTTTGCAGATTCAGTTTATCCTTGCAGTCTCAGTTTCCATTTATTTCTGCAGATTATTTTCGCATCAGTTTCCATTTGTTTTTGCAAATTATTTTTGCATTGCTATTTAATTCATGCAGTTTGTAGTTCTATAGTGTGCAGCTTCCAGATTCATCGTTTACAGTTTTAGCCTGCAGTTAACTTATATTTCTGATTTTATGTTGCTAAACATTTTTTTCCAGCCGCTGGAAAATTCTGAAACGGAATTTTTTTTTGATAAATTGATATCGTTTGCCTTGTGGTTATCAATTTCAATAGTCGGCTATTGCATTTGAATAAAACTTATACAATTGGTTTCATCCACTAGCGACTTGTTTTCCTACATATTTTTGAATTCAGAGTTGAGGCTGTTGTTGTAAAATAATAAAATAAAAAATAAAAAAATCATTCCCTGTCCCACAATATGCTTTTTAGTATTATCAATTTGTGTAACATGCTCTGCTGTAGCTACTTTGGCTTTTCTATAGCTAAGAGGGATTCTCGGTGGGCATAAGCATGGGTTTCTGAGGAGAGGCTTATTTCATTGCTTATGAACAGGGGTTGAACACTTGTTGAGAGATGTGAAATGCTTTCAAGTAACGTCAATTTGGGTTGATTATTTTGTTTGAATAGAATGATGCTATTTACTTCTATTCCTAGACCAATGTCGCTTGTGTCGATACACATGATTTAATTCAGATTTCTCGAGAAGGATCCTTTCATTTACTCTGGTGCATTTAGCAGTAGCTACAGAGCTTGGACATTCCAAAGAGCTCTATCTCATGGCATGTAATTTTGTCAAGGATTATCCTTAAAAGTATGCATCTATAATGTTGTATTATTTATATTAACAATCATTGTTAATCTTGAGAAAGAATATCATGTTATTGCTCTTATTTATTTTCTAAATTTTTTGTTAGTTTTCCACCATAGTTGAGTGTATGACTTAAACTATCAGGGAAATAGGTTATTATGTGAAGAAAGCAACCCTAGTAATTAATACCAACTATTAGGTTTGAACATGATTTTTTCACTCCTAGCAACATTTCTAAATTGTTTAAATTAAGAATATTTAATTTAGTTGACAATAGAGCACAGATGCATTATGATTCTAACCAATAGAATGGAACATAGCTATTATCTTCTTTAGTCATCTATGGAGGTGGCGTGCAAAGTTCTAGGGAGTGAGAGAATATTAGGATTTTTGTCCATAAAAGCTGTTATGCAAATTGGAGCTTATGTTAGAAACCAAATGCAGTGGTTGTGCAAAATATAAAAACACAATTTTCCTATCTGTTATGCAAATTGGAGCTTATGTTAGAAACCAAATGCATTACCTATGTTAAAAAATCTAGGGCACCATACACTGATATAGAAACTTTAGCTCCTAGTCGTTTTTGATTGGTTAATATTGTAAGTTTCTTCAAAGTTCGCATTTAGTTCCCTCCTGAGTTTGACTTTTACTTTATTACATGATTTTCTATGTATATGTATATTTTACTCCAATGTGAGTGTGGGACAATTTAAGAATCATCTGCATTAACACTCTGTACCCTGAGGGCTTGATGCATATTTTTGTAAAAGTCAATGGATTATATTTTAATTATTGTATTTGTACTAATCATGTAACATGCCTCTTAACAATTACCAGCAGACTTTCTTGTGTTTCAATGGGGCTAGCTGTTGAGGCATAAAAGCTGATTTTCTATTTAACGTATAGAATTTCCTGTGTTTGAATGTGGCGTTAGCTGTTGAGGAAGTAATTGTAAATGTTGCAGTGCAGCTGATTGCCATTCACTCAAAATTTATTTCTAATTACTATGCTTCGTGGTGGCTTAAATTTTACATCTAAATACTACGTTAGTTTTAGGGTAATTGATTTTATGCTTCAAATGAAGCTATCACAAAAATGTTTCTGCTTGTTTTTTATGTTTGAAGTTCATTAGTTTTAAGGATTTTTAGAAAAAGCTAACTGCTTGTTACTATAGAAAGTCTTTTTACGAAGATGGTAAGCCCATAATGAACAGTACAGCTGCAAATTTGAAGGTTTGAACTTTATTTCTGATCTTTATGGTGATGATGAGTACCATTATTATAAATCGTGCTGATTATAATGATAACTATACAATTTCGACAGTTTCGCATTTATGCTGCACTTCATGATCCCTTCAATGGGGAAGTAAATGAAGGATTGGAATGATGAAAGATGGAAGATTTCAGTGAAGGATTAAGGTGTAAAATGGAAGATGCTAGCATAGAAATGTTGATATGGAAGTCGTTGAAGTTAATTTTGTACTAAAACCGGCTTATTTGATGAAGCTATTGAATTTTATTTTATTGATGTGTTCTAGTTCATTTTTGTGTAGATTAAAAAATTTGTAATGAAGTTATTATCAATGTTGTTGATTAACTTGTGTAAATTGTTTTTGTGTGTGTGTGTGTTACCTATGTAATGGTCAAACAACATTATAAAAAAGAGAGATAGAGAGACATATGGCAACGGTCAAAATATGTTGCAAAAACTAAGGATATAAGTATAGGCAACACGTAAAAATAGTTGGAAAAAGGTCATTCTCAACATTCAAAGAACGCTGCAAAAAGGTTTTTCGCAACGTTCAAGAAACGTTGCCCTATCCTTATACTCTATGGCAATATCTAGATTTGCAAGATACGCCTGAGTGCTGCAAAAGGTTTATGGCAACATTTTTCGAACGTTGCAAAATACAGTTTTTGGAGTAGTTTCAATGAGAGATATTGTGAAGATCCATTAAATCAATCCTTGAGTTTGATTTTCAACGTCAGCTAAATTAGTCATCTCATACAAAGTTGATATGTTGGAATATTTATTCTCACTTTGACGCGATACATTTTTCCGGTGGTTCGATTAAGATAAACGTCTTGAGTTAATGGCCAGGAGAATCAATAGTGGTGTGCAAAGGATTGGAGATTTGATTAATTGGAGAGAATGCTTAGAATCAAAGCTGGATTTAGCGAATTTGCGAGTGGATATGTAGAATCAAACTAATGTGCCTAAAGTTAGTTATGGACACTACATAGATGGTATTCAATAGTAAGAGTACGGTCCTTTTGAGAAGGCTTATGGTTCAAGTGCTGGAACTACAATGATCTTGTTTATTAACTATCACTGTCAGCTGGTCGGATATAACTATGATAATGTTGGGTCGACATAACTAAAATTGCCAACTTGTCGAGCGTGTTGCGCTAATTGCTTTTCAAGTTGGGATCGAGTCAAAATAGGAAACAAAATCTTTCTCGTCCAATTAGCTATGCAATAGCACACGTCAATTTTTTGCTTGCTGCTGGACAATTTCTTACGTTCATGGGGTGTTCCTTGTGATTGCAAAGGCTCAAGTTTGCTTTCGTGTTTCACTTTAGTTTTCTCCTATGAATTATTTCACAGGTCTTTACAGTCCCATGTGACTTTTTCCCCAAAAATGAACCATTCACCCCACATGCTGTGTCTTGTCTGTACCCACCCTGTGAAGATCGAACTTGTACACAGCGTGGTTGTTCTCCTATTGTTCTGTTTGAGCTATTTCCTATTTTTACCTTTGGTCATTCATGTTTAAATTCTTTATACTTCGATCTTTGTTGTCCGCATTCATCTGTATTCGGTCTGCAAGTTCCGAAAGCTTTCAATTAAGTCCCGAAAAATGTTCGGTTTAACTTCTGAAACTTGTGATTCTCTTCCGATTTCTATCTTACTTCTCCTCATTGATCACGTGCAATTCCGTTGATCTACATTTGCTCTAAATCAACACCAGTTAAGCACTAACACGTCTTTTTTTCGCTCCAATTGTATCCAAGTCTTTTCGTACAATTTACATATTTACGCTAAATTAGGTGGATACTCCCTCAATTCGTAATTATTCATCAACTTTAAAAGCTCAAATAAACGTGTAAAACACCCTTACAGAGCACGTGAATTTCAATACCATTTTCATGTATGACTATAATAAAATGAAATACTAGGTTTCCTTTTACAGGACAAAGAGTTTAAACATAGGGGAACTTCTAACAGTTTTGCTGTTTTACTAGGAACCCCTCACAGTAAGTGGGTCCCATGCAGGACCCACTTATTGGCCAGAAATCCACCCACCACCAATGATGTGAGTGGTCGGTAGCTACCTTGGACGCGGAGCTCGGTCCAATTTTTAACGCATCACAAATTAGTTGAAATTGTGTGATTAAAAAGAATGAAGGAATTATGGACTCGTGTAAAATTATTTTATATAGAGAATTTATATTGAAAATATGTTTGAGAAAAACGAGTTTTAGAAAATAGGCATCAAACAAGGACTAAATCTAATTAATCGGAACTTAAAAAACATAGTTTAAATCAAGCTCTATTGTTAATTCTATTTCTCTTAAAGTATGTCTTTATTCCACATGTCAATATTGCTTAAGTGCTGAGAGAACTCGACTCCTTCAAGTTAGGTTACGATGTACTTTCTTTTCCTTAGCGGTTGGACAGTTAGACTGAATAAGGATTATGGACAGAATATTTATGATTTCTTCGTCCATTAATAATAGATTTGGCAAGAGACAGAGAAAAATGAATGGCGATGCAGGCGATGCGCCACCGCTTCTGGGGTTTTGTGAGGGTGGAGCTACTAAAATCAAGAAGCGCTCTATATAGGCCAGTACCATAATCAGTGGCTGAATGGAATTTGGTTGCCATTGTTAGTTCTTTCTAAACTCGCAGAAATGGAGGAATGAATTCTTGCGTAAGAAAGATTGTCATTCGATAACGTTTATGTCATGATGATTTATAATCAATTTGGGCGGCAAAGGGAAGTTTCTTGGTAGTTTCCATGTATATATATAAAATTAACGGCCGACGTGATCTGAACTCATCCATTGTGCGAAAGTGAACAGTTGACAATTGTAATCTATTCAGCATTGAGTTCCATTTAGTTAATATAGCATAGCAAGAACATGTTTGTTTGTTAGTTAAAAAAGCTGCATGTGTTCATACAAATGATCATAAATAATTCACGCATAGAAAAAAGAATTATTTCCAGGAAGGAATTTAGAAGTTATGGCCATATATAATTCCTGAAAGATCGGAGAGGAAGGTATTTTCCAACCTAACATTGGGATATACTATTACTTCACGACAAGTACAAACGTTTTTTCCCCTTTAGACCTATTTTTTTATGGACGGAAGGAATTTCCTACCAACCATGCTATGCTGCCGCTCTACATTTGGAGGCATTTTTTATTTACGCGGATTCCATACACATGTGAACATTGGTCAATGATCGTATCAAACAAGACTGACAACTCAGCTTAATTCATTCCATAGCCAAGGGGCCATTAGCCATGGAGCCACGGCTTCTCTTTTTTGATTTTATTTTTAGTAAAGTTGACTATGATTTTTGAGAAGTTAAAAACTTTTTTGAAAATTAAAAGATGCTTTTCGACTCGTTTGATTAATTTTGTAAAAGTATTTCTTTTAATCTAATTAGAAGAGTTTTTAGGGAAATTTTTTTTTTACCGTTTCTTGGATTATGTAGCTAACATCAAATATCTTGAAAATAAGCCTTAATTTGTTGCCGTTTCTTGGATTGTTAAATTCCTTTAAGATCAAATATGAATTCCTATAAGACCAACAACGTTATAATGGATTGAGTGGTTGTCAATTGACAAAAATATTTACATATATTGTGCATAGATGAGATAAGAAGAGATCTTCTTACGCATATTGTTTGTAATAAAAAAAGTTGTAAAACGAGAAGAGACAGAATAGCATACGGCTATACTTAAGTTGGTTACGACTCAATCAAGATGTGCAGGCATGTTCTTGGAAGATTACTAGATGTATCAGTTAGGAAATATAACAAGTATTATTCACATGTGAGCAGAGTGGAATAAGAGGATATAAATTGAAGTGACCTGCATGAGAACTAGAGAAGGCTCATTTCATTTAACACTTGTGTGACATTGCTAAAAGTTGGTGGAACCCATAAAATGTGTGGGAAAAAAGAAAATAAAAATTGTGGGTTCGATGAAATATAAGGTTAAAAATGAAGTTTGACCAATTTTTTAGCAAACAAAAATTATAACAAACCAGTACTTAGTTGAACTGGATTATACAAATACAGAAGATAAGAGGTAAAGAGACAACTGGTGCAATCTACACAAGTGGTCTATAGAATCCATAGGATAATAGGAGTGGGATGACAAGGCAATTAATACGAAGTTCATTAAAGACATAGAAAAGACATGGTGATAGCAGAGTCACGAATCGAATAAGAACAAGTGCGAGGTTGTAAGAAAAAACGATACTAAAGGTGTTGGAATATAATAAGCTATAATAGAAGAAAGCTGTGACTTTAAGAAGTCCATAGATGGATGAGGCTTCTAGATGGGTTACAAACGTGAATACACGATCATTACAATGTAGTTGAAGAATTGTTGGGAAATTTTGGTGGGATTAAGTGGCTGCCAACTACCCTTCTCTGGGAAAATGATGCTTAGAAGTTTATCAATCGAGAACATGCATGTTTGGTTGTTTTGTAACTAAGATCAACCTTGAATGATATTATAGAATTTATTATTGACTTGTGAAATTTTTTTTCGTAGAATACTAAAATGAAGTTTCTTCTTCTTGTCTCAAAACTAAACTACTGATTTTTATCCAGCTTTTGTGTGTCTCGCACTCAAGATGAGTTCAATATTCTCTCATTTAAATTGAAAATAATTTTCTTGCTCCAATCAAGATCACGCATGTAAAGTTTTGCATTTTTGTCTAAGTTTGAATGATGTTTGTTGAAGAATATTCAAATATTGTTTCTTATTTCTCTCGTTCGCACCCATCCATTGACGTTTTACCCCCGTTCCATACTTCAGAAATACTTTAACTGATGCGAGTATTTTCTCCCTCAGATGGGTAGACTTGGAAAAAGTATATGGAAATGTTTTAGACAGTATTTACTAGGTTGTCTCTTTGGTTTCATCTTTCTCACCTAATCTATTGTGGAACTTAACAGCAAGTCATTTTCCTATGTGGTGCTTAATTTCCAATTCGTGGCCCGTTCCCAAAACGTGGGAGAAATTTGTGTTGCATCTACAGTTTCACTTCTACCTGGTCTACACTCGAATTGACACATATACACTGTAATTAGTCTCTATTCAGTCCGTCTTTGATCTTACTACGAAGTATGTCTACACATTTCAATATAAAACACATTTCAGCCCTCCGAAATGGAAAAACCGAACAAGGCTTGGGAGGAAAAAGTAGACTACTTTAAATTATGAAGCGCAAGTAGTGCTCAACTTTGGGACCTTGTGTCTCCACTTGTTCATGCTTCTTGCATAATTGTCAAATGTCACCTTTTAAATAATTGCATCTAATTTCTAGGTCAATGTCTATCATGCAATTAAGGGGTTGTTTGATAAAAAATTTATCAAATTTTAATACAAGTTGATGATATGTGTACTTAAAATTGAAATCGTTTAAAGTTGCGAGTCTCGTGAAATTTGTTCAGTTAAGAAATTGATGACATTTCAACAAAAATTTATCAACCCATTCATTGTCATAGACAATGCAAGGTACAATTCAAGTTGCAAACATTGACTAACAGAGTCTATTATGCAATTTCATTTGGTTTATTGCAGGAAATTGCCAAGAACTTCCGCTCTGATTGTTTTTAATGTCTTTGGTCATGTTTTCAATTAATAAATAGGAAAAGCGACATGATAGACTTTTGAATTTTTAGCGATATTTTACACCGTCACTATACTTTAAAAAAATAAAAATAAATAAATAAATAATTAGATTATTGAACTTCAATGGTTGTTGCATTGGGTCACATGTTGTAGTTGACAAGAATACTTTCGATGACATCCCTTGTAACAATATGATATTAATCTTGAAATTGTTACTCCAAAGTTCTTTCATATATGAGGTAAATATTTTTTTAAGTGTTTATTACGTTTTTTCCTTGTTATTTAAGTTCAATTACCCAACTGATATCAGAAACGGAAGTTAAAGTTTTATTTCCACAAAATGAAAGCGATATGTACAAGAAATTAGCTTATTTTCTTGCAGATTTAATAAGCTGACGTGAAATGAAAGTAAATTCATCCACCATTGATAAGATGGGCCATTGTTAAATATTCAAGTCTGGAATTTTACGCAGCCGTGCGTGCCGGGTCTGGTCCTCTAACCTTGTAATTGGTATTAGAGGTAATTACAATGGTGACTCAACCTTTCAATTTTTTTGTAGTTTTATCCCAATTTTTTATTTATTGCACCAATGACCTCAAACTTTTTGATGTTTATGTCCATATGCCTGTTAATGGACCAAAAGTTAACGATCTGACCCTATTTTGACCAATTCTAAAACGACAAATGGTAAAACGTAAAATATAAATTTTTTATTTTGCCCTTTTAAAATTGGTTAAAATGCGATCAAACCATTGGCTTTTGGTCAACCGACGAACATATGAAAGTAAAATTCTATCTTCAACATTGGCTTGCTTCCAGCGGCAGGGTGGAGAATTCGATTCCTGGTGGGAACCTGCTGCCAAATATTTGGTATGGAACAATTACTGTGGAGGATGGTCTCTTGTGCGCAGAAGTGTACGGTCAATGGGGGAACCTGTAATCCAGTTGAGGTATAAACCGCGGTTTACCCCCTCCAAAGTTCAAGGGGCATGGGTCTTGGAGGTCTAAGATTTAGTCTGGTGTAAGATGGAATACCTGGATATCAAAAAATAAAAAATAAATAAAATTCTATCTTACACAAGTTAAAGGTTTGAATTGTGAGTGCAATAAATGAAATGTTATGATAAAAGCTGTAAAAAGTTGGAAGGATTGGGAAAGCAGCTTTAATTATCACTTGAAATTATTCAAATATGCTTTGGTTTTCTATGAAGGTTTGTTGGACAAACCTTTTAGTAAAATTTTTAATATATTTTTTGATAAAAGTTAATTAAATATATAGTTGAAAAGTCGATAAAAATTACAAGTCTAGTGAAATTTGGAGTTAAAATTAATTTTGACCGATTGATCAAACATAAATTTTGGGTTTGGTTCGATGTTCGACTAAATTGACTATTTGGTATAAATTTATATTTTTAAATGAAATAGTTTTGTCATTATTGAATATTTATTCTTAGGGCACTTTTTGATGTGCAATACTAAACATAAATTTAAAAAAAAAAAAAAAAAAAAAAAAAAAAAAGAAGATATTTACTCTTCTTTTAAAAAAAAAAAAAATTATGTCTTAGTCCAGAATATTCAGCAAGTAGTTACGTAATGAAACACAAATTAACTAGGTAGGTGAAAAAGCTTCTTTTTGATTTTGTGGATACACAAAGTAAATTTACTTTGTAATGTCAAGATTGTGTTTTAATTGAGTTCAACTTTTAAATACACCTATTACCATTCGAAACATGTTTGCTAAGCTTTAAAAGGGCAACTTTGCTTTTGTAATAAACTTTTCTTATGAATGCTTATATGCAACAAAAACAAGACACGTACGGCACATTTGACTGTTGCTTATGGATTATAACAAGAGCAAAAATATAAAATGCATTTGAAAATAGCTTTGGGCGGTGTAGCCTGCAACAACTTGTCGCGCTGTCATGGCTCCATATGTAATAACTAGATCCAATTTTTCGACTCTTGACTGAGTTAATTTCAATCGTCTACTTCAAATTTATATGATTCGGGTTGCTATACTTTAATTTTGGTCTTATTTAGGTAAACTCATTCAATTTCGTACATTGCTTTAACTATGGACAATGAAGTGGTCCCTACATGATAATAAAGGTCGAACCCCAACCTTGATAGCTCCCACCGTTCCGCCTCTAGAACTTTGTGAGGGAGGTAAATCGCGGGATGTGCCTCAACAGGACAGAGAACAAGAGCTGCATGTACACTGCTCCTACAAGGAGTCCAATTCCGCGTTTCAGGAATCGAACCCCCACACTGCGATTGTCTACAAGGCGTGAGATAACCTCACTCCTGTCCTTTGCACCACTAGGTTATGTCTCGGAGGGTAGTCCCTACATGATAATAGAGACCCTAAGGGGCTGCAAAAAATTATGAATGGGAAGTACGAAATAATTTTCCACATTAAAATTGTGGAATGAAAGTAACCCAAAATGTAGGTTTTTAAGTCGTGTTACTTTTTTCAAGTATTATTATTACTTTTTTTAATAATTGTTAGTGTTTAATGACCGCGTTAGAGTTTGGCAAGAAATTGAATAAAGTGGCCTAAACTGAGATAAATTATAATGACTCAACTAACACAAAATTAATCTATGGCAATCCAATTGATATAAATTGAAGTACATTTCAATTGAAAATTACGGATTTTAGTAGGTTGTACTTAAAAGAAAAGATACGTTAAAATACAGAACAACGCATTAAAGGTCCATTTTGCAAGACTTTTACAAAGTCAAAAACTATTTTTAAGACTATGAAACTACTTTTGAATTTATTTGGATAAATTTTTTAAGTATTTTGTTCGATTAAAAGATCTTTTAGAAAAAAATCAACTTGAAGTCACTTCCTAAGGAAGCTCTTCTATTGTCAATTTCATTGTACTCAAAAAGTTTTCTAAAAACGTTACCTTAGTGTGTGTAAATTATTTTTCAAAGAGCTATCTCTTTCGGAAGAGTTTTAGAGAAAGAATCATTTGGTAAATTTATTTTTTTTCCCCTAAAAACTCTTCTAATTAGATTAAAAGAAATACTTTTACAAAATTAATCAAACGAGTCGAAAAACATCTTTTAATTTTCAAAAAAGTTTTTAACTTCTCAAAAATCATAGTCAACTTTACTAAAAATAAAAGCAAAAAAGAGAAGCCGTGGGTCCGTGCCAAATGGCCCCGCTAGGGAATGAATTAAGCTGAGTTGTCAGTCTTGTTTGATACGATCATTGACCAATGTTCACATGTGTATGGAATCCGCGTAAATAAAAAATGCCTCCAAATGTAGAGCGGCAGCATAGCATGGTTGGTAGGAAATTCCTTCCGTCCATAAAAAAATAGGTCTAAAGGGGAAAAAACGTTTGTACTTGTCGTGAAGTAATAGTATATCCCAATGTTAGGCTGGAAAAAAATACCTTCCTCTCCGATCTTTCAGGAATTATATATGGCCATAACTTCTAAATTCCTTCCTGGAAATAATTCTGTTTTCTCTGCGTGAATTATTTATGATCATTTGTATGAACAAACATGTTCTTGCTCTGCTATATTAACTAAATGGAACTCAATGCTGAATAGATTACAATTGTCAACTGTTCGCTTTCGTTCAATGAATGAGTTCAGATCACGTCGGCCGTTAATTTTATATACATACATGGAAGCTACCAAGAAACTTCCCTTTGCCGCCCAAATTGATTATAAATCATCGTGACATAAACGTTATTGAATGACAATCTTTCTTACGCAAGAATTCATTCCTCCATTTCTGCGAGTTTAGAGAGAACTAACAATGGCAACCAAATTCCATTCAGCTACTGATTATGGTAGTGGCCTATATAGAGCGCTTCTTGATTTTAGTAGCTCCACCCTCACAAAACCCCAGAAGCGGTGGCGCATTGCCTGTATCGCCATTCATTTTTCTCTGTCTCTTGCCAAATCTATTATTAATGGACGAAGAAATCATAAATATTCTGAAATTTCAGGCTCTACTTCTCACACTGTTCTTGAAATTGATACAGTCAGTAGCTTGGATCTGTCATCCAGTACAAATTTAGTGCCTGAATCTTGTTTTCCCATCGTTGATCAAACAAAACTCAGAGATATGGTGAAGAACAAAAGCATGGACGAACTCCGACAATTTGACGGCGTTGATGGCATTGCCAAGCTTCTGAAAACTGATTTAGAAAATGGAATTCCTGGAGACGAAGATGATACGAAGAAACGGAGGACTGCATTTGGTTCGAATACGTACCAAACCCTGCCTCCCAAAGGGCTAATGTATTTCGTGGTCGAGGCATTTAAGGATACAACCATTATCATCCTTCTTGCCTGCGCAGCTCTATCTCTTGCATTTGGTATTAGAGAACACGGGATTCAAGAAGGATGGTACGAGGGTGGCAGCATATGTGTAGCTGTTTTTTTAGTTGTTGTAGTATCTGCAGCTAGCAATTTCAGACAGGAAAGACAATTTGACAAGCTATCGAAAATAAGTAGCAATATCAATATTGATGTTGTTAGAGATGGGAGGAGGCAGAAGATATCAATCTTCAACGTCGCAGTTGGGGATGTAGTTTTCTTGACGATTGGTGATCAAATTCCAGCAGATGGTCTATTCATCGACGGACATTCCTTTCAAGTGGACGAATCGAGCTTGACAGGAGAGAGTGATCATGTGGAAGTCGATTCCAAGCATAATCCATTCCTGATGTCGGGTTCAAAAGTGGCCAACGGATATTCACGAATGCTAGTGATATCAGTCGGAATGAACACGGCCTGGGGAAAGATGATGAGTTCGATAACAAAAGATTCTAACGAGCAGACTCCATTACAGGAGCGCCTGAACAAATTGACGACCTCAATCGGGAAGGTAGGACTTTCTGTAGCTTTCCTGGTTCTTGTAGTCATGTTGATTCGTTATTTCACTGGAAATACCGAAGATGAAAATGGAAATCAAGAATATAATGGAACAAGAACAGATTTAAATGATATTTTCAATTCTGTTCTTCGAATTATATCAACCGCTGTTACCATTGTGGTTGTCGCAATTCCAGAGGGGCTCCCGCTGGCTGTCACCCTAACACTTGCATATTCAATGAAGAGAATGATGGCTGATCAGGCAATGGTCAGGAACTTATCGGGCTGTGAAACAATGGGATCAGCAACAGTTATTTGCACAGACAAGACGGGGACATTGACAATGAATCAAATGAAAGTCACTAAGTTTTGGCTCGGCCATGACAACATGGAGGAAGATCAATATTCTCAGGCTATTGCCCTGGATCTCCAGGAACTATTCCACCAGGGAATCGGTTTCAACACAACAGGGAGCATTTATAAACCGAAATCAGAATCTATAATCGAGTATTCTGGCAGTCCAACTGAGAAGGCAATTCTCTCGTGGGCCGTCCAGGATTTGCATATGGATATTGAGAAGCTGAAGCAAAATTATACGATTATTCATGTTGAAACTTTCAATTCGGAGAAGAAGCGAAGTGGAATTCTGATTAAGAAAAAGGTTGATAATACCAACCATGTGCACTGGAAAGGAGCTGCAGAAATGGTGTTAGCAATGTGTACACATTATTATCAGGGTACAGGAGAAGTTAAGAGCATAACTGAAAATGAAAGGTCGCAATTTGAAAATATAATCCAGGGAATGTCAGCAAGTAGCCTCCGGTGCATTGCATTTGCTTATAAGCAAATTGAACCAGAAAAAGTTCAGTGTGACGAAGATGATTTGACCTTACTTGGGATAGTCGGCCTAAAGGATCCCTGCAGACCAGGTGCAAAAAAGGCTATCGAATCTTGCAGAATGGCTGGAGTGCAAATCAAGATGATCACAGGAGATAATGTGTTTACAGCAAAGGCAATAGCCACAGAATGTGGGATACTTTCATCTGATCAAGAACATGGTGTTGGCGAAGTTATAGAAGGCTCCGAGTTCAGAAACTACACACCAGAGGAGAGATTTCTCAAGGTCAATAAAATTCGTGTAATGGCGAGGTCTTCCCCAATGGACAAGCTTATGATGGTGCAATGCTTGAAGCTGAAAGGTCATGTGGTAGCCGTTACTGGAGATGGAACAAATGATGCACCAGCACTAAAAGAAGCTGATGTAGGCCTTTCCATGGGAATTCAAGGCACTGAAGTAGCCAAAGAAAGTTCGGATATCGTTATCTTGGACGATGATTTTGCATCCGTGGCAACCGTATTGAAATGGGGTCGATGCGTTTATAACAATATCCAAAAATTTATTCAATTTCAACTCACTGTCAATGTTGCAGCCCTTGTTATCAATTTCATTGCAGCTGTTTCAGCTGGTGATGTTCCCCTAACTACGGTGCAACTCCTATGGGTGAACCTCATAATGGATACACTGGGGGCTCTTGCACTTGCTACAGAAAGACCAACAGATGAGCTTATGCATAATCCCCCGGTCGGTCGAACCGAGCCTCTAATCACAAAGATTATGTGGAGAAACCTCTTGGCACAGGCTATATACCAAATTGCCGTACTCTTAACCTTTCAATTTAAAGGTAAATCAATCTTTAATGTGGAGGAGAAGGTAAAGGACACATTGATTTTCAACACATTTGTGCTTTGCCAAGTTTTCAATGAATTTAATTCAAGAAATTTGGAGAAGAAGAATGTGTTTAAAGGGATTCATAAGAATGGACTGTTTCTTGGAATCATTGCAGTAACTCTTATTCTACAGGTTGTGATGGTAGAGTTTTTAAAGAAATTTGCTGATACGGTGAGTTTGAATTGGGTTCAATGGGGAATTTGTATTTTGCTTGCAGCTTTTACATGGCCACTTGGTTGGATTGTGAAGTGCATTCCAGTTCCTAAAATGCCATTTCTAAGTTACTTCAAATTTTCACATACAACTACATGATTTTACTCTGCCGGAGGGCATATAAAGCTTGCGTCTGTGGGCAGAAAAAAGCACCACGAAATAATGGAGATTAAGATTGAGATTTTGGAACTTGGATGGCAAAGATTTTGTTGGACTGCGTCGAGCCTAATTATAGAAGTTTATTTTGTAGTCATGGCTTTTGAGTATATGTTCATGTATTAGGTCACTCATATTCTTACAATATAAAGAATTTATTAGGGGGCCCTTTTTGTGTGCAAGATGTGTGCGAGAAAATGATAGCGAAAATCTGTCAGAGTAAGTGGATTTAGCTCTCACGTCGAGGGCCAACCATTAAAAATCTTCACGTTTTATGCTCGTTTTTGTGTGCAAGATGTGTGTGAGGAAATGATAGCGAAAATCTGTCAGAATAAGTGGATTTAGCTCTCACGTTGAGGGCCGGCCACAATAAATCTTCGCGTGCTATGCTCGTTTTTGGGTTCTTTTTGACGAACGGGCTGTAGGAGTATTGGAACATATGGGCATCAGCAGATCAGCCAGCCCAGCTCAAATGATTTAGGCGCCAAATTTAGTTAGAAGTTAGCTGTGTATTAGCTGTGTACAGCTGTATTAGTTGATAGTTTTTTTCTATTTATACTCACCTATGTACTGAACGATTGAATTGAATGAGAATGCTTTCCATTTTACAGATTCTTCTTTTCTTCAATATGGTATCAGAGCAACTTGCTTCCTCATCGCCATAACTCTGTCATTTTTTTTGATACAGCTTCTTTTACATCTCCATGGCAGAAGCTAAATTTCGTAATCAGTCATCTAAATCATCATCAATAAGCAATTCCACTATTGATGATGGATCAAATCGTCTTTTTCTTCATCACCCCTTTTGTGTTGAAAATGAAGAAAAGAAATCCGATCTTGGATCTAATCGGCGAGTAAATCATGGTGCAGTCAATCAAGTTTCTGACTCATTTCCAGAACAAGCCGGTAGTAATGTTGAGAAATTTCTGCAAACCCTGAATCATAATCAATACCAGCAGTTGATGAAGATGCTGAGCAATTATCGCACAAATGCAAAGACCAGTACTGAGATAGGCAAAAATAAGTCTAATCACATCTCAGGTACTTGTTTCTCTGTATCTTTCAATCCAATGTTGAATTCTGATACATACTAGGTAATGGATTCTGGAGCCACAAGCCATGCATGCTTCAATCGGTCAGCCTTTCATACATTAAGACCAATCAAGAATGCCCACGTCACACTGCCAAATCATGAAAGAATACCTGTGAATTTCAATGGGACAGTGAAGATAACTCCTGAATTGGTCCTTGAGGATGTGTTGTATGTTCCTCAATTTAAGTTCAACCTTTTGTCTATCAGTTCATTGACTAGGAATTCATCTATCAATGTCACTTTTCTCCCTGATTGCTGTACTATTCAGAATTTGGACAACATGAAGGTGATTGGCAAGTGTAATAGAGTGGATGGTCTCTATATATTGGATGCTGCATCATATAAGTCTATGTTAAGTGGCTGTAAGAATTCTGTATGCTCTATTGTAAATAATGTGACCTCACATACTTGGCATCAAAGGCTTGGTCATTTATCCTTTCAAAGGTTAGACATGATGAAAGAACAGTTGAAAATTACACGTAGTGGTTACAAAGATTTCAATGCAACTCCATGTGATATTCGTCCTTTGGCAAAACAGAGGAGACAGTCATTTGTATCTAACAACCATTTATCTAAGAATGCCTTTGACTTGATACATTGTGACACCTGGGGTCCATACCATGTCCCAACATGTTCTGGCCACAGATTCTTTTTGACATTGGTCGATGATTGTACGCGTTTTACATGGGTCTATCTGATGAAGCATAAATCAGATGCAAAATCTATCATTCCCAGGTTCTTTGCGCTCATTGAAACTCAGTTTCATACAGTCATTAAAAAGTTTAGATCTGATCATGCTCTAGAGCTTCGTTTTACTGAATTTTTTGCCTCAAAAGGTGTCATACATCAATATTCTTGTGTTGAAAGGCCTCAGCAAAACTCAGTTGTAGAAAGGAAACATCAACACCTTCTCAATGTGGCACGAGCACTATTCTTTCAGTCAAGAGTGCCTATTCAATTCTGGGGCGACTGTGTCCTTACTGCTACCTTTCTAATCAATAGAACTCCATCTCCAATCCTCAAGAATATGACCCCATTCTCTTTGCTATATGGAACTCCATTCGACTACACTTCGCTCAGGGTGTTTGGAAGCCGTTGCTTTGCATCAACACTTCCTTCTCATAGAAACAAATTCTATCCTAGAGCCAAAGCCTGTGTTTTCCTTGGTTACCCTCCAGGTATTAAAGGGTATAAACTTTATGATATATCCTCTAAATCATTCCTTATTTCCAGGGATGTGGTATTCCATGAAAAATATTTCCCTTTCCATTCTATGACTCCAACATCAGAATTGATAGATCCCTTCCCTCATATTGTATTACCACACATTACATCTGATCCATACATCCATCATTCCACCTTAGATTCACATACTTCTGTCAGCAATGACAATTCGATTGAACATAATAATTCACCTGTCATTGAACAATCTTCCAATTCTACCTCTGATTGTAGTCAAAGGCCTGATTGCAATCAGCCTTCGCACTTTGTACCTAGAAGAACAACTAGGGTGAGTAAACTTCCATCTTACCTCCGTGAATTTCACTGCAATCTGCTTACAAACCAATCACCTCCTAATAATAACTCCGTTTATCCTTTGTCCAATTATCTCTCATATAAATCCTTTTCTCACCCACATAAAACATTTCTACTCAATGTTTCTTCAAATACTGAACCATAGTTTTACCACCAGGCAGTTGCATCTAATCACTGGAGGGAAGCAATGATGTCTGAATTGGCAGCCATGGAATTAAACAAAACTTGGACCATAACCAGTTTGCCCAAGGGAAAGCATTCAATTGGCTGTAAATGGGTTTATAAAATCAAATATGGACCTGATGGAAGTGTAGACAGGTATAAAGCATGTTTGGTAGCCAAAGGTTATACCCAACAAGAAGGATTGGATTTTATTGACACTTTTTCACCTGTTGCTAAGTTGGTCACTGTCAAAATGTTACTTGCTGTTGCAGCCATTAATCAATGGCATCTTGTTCAATTGGATGTCAATAATGCATTTTTGAATGGTGATCTTTTTGAGGAGATTTATATGGATTTACCTCAGGGGTATTCAAATGTGATTATTGATGCCATCAAAGGAGGTAAACCAGTTTGTAAGCTCCACAAGTCCATTTATGGTCTTCGGCAGGCTTCTAGGCAATGGTTTTCCAAGTTTTCCCATGCTCTCATTACACACGGTTTCCATCAATCCAAGACCGATTATTCCCTATTTACAAAGGGTTCAGGCTCTTCATTTGTTGCCTTGCTGGTCTATGTCGATGATATTATCATCACAGGTTCAGATCTCAATGCCATTGCCTCTCTAAAATCATTTCTACATAGTCAGTTCAAACTTAAGGACTTGGGAAAATTGAAGTACTTTCTTGGTTTGGAAATAGCAAGATCACATAAAGGAATATGTTTGTCTCAAAGGAATTATACATTGCAGTTGCTGGAGGATACAGGGTTTTTGGCCTGCAAGCTTGCCCCTTTGACTATGGATCCTAAGATTCGTTTAAACTCAGTTGATGGTGATTTACTATCTGACACAGTAGCTTCATCCTATCGTAGACTTGTTGGCCGCTTGCTCTACTTAACTATCTCACGCCCAGACATCACTTTTACTGTACACAAACTTAGTCAGTTTGTCTCCAAACCTCGACAACCACACCTTGATGCAGCTTATCATCTTTTGCAGTTCCTTAAGTCAGCCCCAGGCCAAGGTTTGTTCTTTTCAGCCTCCTCTTCACTGCAACTACGTGCGTTTGCTGATGCGGATTGGGGTTCTTGTCCTGATTCGAGGAAATCTATCACTGGACTATGTGTATTTCTTGGTGACTCTCTTGTTTCATGGAAGGCTAAGAAGCAACAGACTGTTTCCAGATCATCTGCGGAAGCTGAATATCGAGCACTAGCAGCCACTGCCAGTGAGTTAACATGGATGCATCAGTTGCTCCTGGATCTACAGATTTCTCCATGATCTCCAGCTCTGATTTTTTGTGATAACCAGGCTGCAATCCACATTGCAAGCAATCCTATCTTCCATGAACGAACAAAACACCTCGAGATTGATAGTCATTTTGTTCGTGATAAGGTGGTTGATGGTTTCATCAAATTATTGCCTGTACGTTCTCATCACCAGTTG